TAGCTCTTAGGGTTTCTATCTCAGCCTGACACTAGTGAACTGGGTGTCAGATTACACAAGAAGCAAAAACAGATTTGGATTGCTAAATCTGACTCATCTCCACAGAGTTGGAAAGTGAAGATTGTGTCACTTGCTAATGTCAGGTCTGTGTCAAACGGAAGTTAATGTCACAGCGGAGGTTGCCATGGATTTCCCAGACAGAAGAACCCCCTGTTAGAGCTTTGCTGTGTGTGAGTGGGCAGAGAGATATGCTGTGGGTCATTTGTGCTGGCATGAAACGGGAAATACCTGCATATATAGCAAAGAGATGAACTTAAAATGAATATTAGAGATGTGAGCTACAGAGCAGTAGGATGACTTTGGCAGGATCTGGAATGAGATACACAGCATCAACTGAGTGATAAATAATTTTAAATATATATCTGTATGTTAAACATTAGGACTGTATCTAATGCTTTTGAACTTTTACAGAATAAAGCAATGGAGGAAATGCTGAAAATCAAAGCAGAGTAAGTCTAAATATTGTTCCTTGAACTGGAAACTTGTATTAAACTAATTAATGACAAAAAAGCTATATTTAAGCACTAGAAGTCCAATACCTGAATTTATAAAAGACATAATTTGGAAATGTTTACAATTCTGCAAGACACATTGAGTTCTTACTCTTTCTCATCAGTAGGTGGTAGTAGTACCTATTACTACATTTACTGAAAAGGATAGCATTATATCAGGACAATAATCTGAAATAGGTAGAACCATAAAAACTTGAATTGGAAGAGCCATTTTTAATTGTTTAAAGTTATTTATGTGTTCAAGTTTTGTATGTGCAATGAATTCTAAGCACATTCCCTTTCAAATTGAATTGAAATGCTGTTCATTTCTTTATTAGTATCGTAAATGTTTTATAATTTTAAATATAATCTAATTATTTTCTTTTTATGCTATTTGTTTAAATTTTTGCAGTTAATCTTGAATAATGAATTTTTTTATTATTAGAGGACTCCTAGATTGTGTTTGCGCAATTGTGCAAATAGTCCTCAAAATTCAAATGTTTTGCACCTTGGATGGATAGGAGCAAAGAAAGAAAATACTGAATTAGTAGATGAACATTAGTTTGAAAATGTTGGTCCTGCTATTCTTTCCCTAATCTGTACTCTTCAGGATTCATAGTGGCTGAATCTTTTAATACTTGAGTTATTTACATTTAATGGAATGCTTTCTATGTACGTAACTTCTTTTAAGGAGGAAGAGAGTTTTTATGCACATGGTCATTTCAAAACTAACTTTCATTAAATTTTCCAGAAACCATAGTCTGGCATTTAGGGATTATTTTGCTATTTGATGCATTGTGTTTTCATACCTGTCTGGTCTCTGAAATATGCCTTATAACAGTGCTACAAGGTCTCATACAAACAAATAATGCACAAAGAAGGAAAATATTCTTTCCTCATTAAGAAAATGTCTTGACAAATGTACCAAATGAATACTGTTTTCATAGTGTAGGTCTTAAACACTAGGCTTCAGTAAAATAAAACTGATGACAAAAATAATTTAATTTATACAATATTTGAATAGACTTGGAAAATTATTAAAGTTCATATAATCGGTAGACAGGCTGCGAAGTTTGATGGCACAGTTTAATATTCTGTAAGCCTTACAGACATCTTGTCTGCTGAAAATGTTTTAATTCTATCCAAAGTGGTGGTCCTTCTGTTACCAGGCCAAACAAGCTCAGGCCATCAGAGCTGCTCAGAGATGTTTCTGAACAACAAGACCACTGGGGGAAAAGTCACAGACAGACAAGCAATGTAAGGGAAACTTGAAGAGCGGCTGAGTTTAGCTGGAAAATTTACATTCCTTTGGTGGATTAATTCAAAGTGTTCTTGTAGGTGAAGCTTCTGTTTCTGCTTTCTCCTTGGTTGAGTTATATATCCTGGATTGCAAACAGTTACCAAAGAGCACAGTTACCAAGGAGAAGAACATCTCCAAAACACTGCCTAGTTGAGAGTATCAAAGACAAGAGCTGTGAAGCAGAATGAAATTTTTCCTTCCCTTAACACTAAGTTCTAAGAAAAATATGTTGTCTCAGAAGGACACTTTTAAAGGAGTGTCCCTCCATGTCCAAGACTGACTTAGTAATTCACTTACATGCCATTTATATTGGTTTTAAAGTTTTTTATGCTTCTTTTATATTGGCAGATTAGAAGAGACCAAAAATATCCTCAGAGTCCAAGAGAATGCCTGTCATCAAATGACTCTGGAGCTACAACGAACAAGAACTTTGGAGCTCAAAGCATTTAATGAAAAAGAAGAAATTAGATCAAAACTGGAGGAAGCATATGAAGAAAGAGACAGAATTGAAAAGGTTACACATGTATAATCATTTTTTCGTCTTTACAGTAAAATCTTATTCAGCAGAGGTAGAGGTCTTACAGTTTAGTTGTATTTGTAATATTATTCTCTGCACTAGTGGAAGTCTGGGTACACAAATCAGTGTTGCAATTCATAATACAAATCAATTAGTGCTCTTTTTTGACCTTTAGAAGGATCTAACATAGTATCTAAGGACACATAAGACAAATACGTATTTCCCGAATGAACCAACTCTTGCATCATATGTTACAACAAACTTAAATGTTAGTATGTTTGTAGCTCTAAGAAGCTATTTCTTCTGAAAAGAGAAGGAGAGGCTACTGCTAACAGGTACACAATGTATTTATATTAATTACAGGAAATAGAATTGCTGAGGAAGCAAGTTGACTCTCTTGCTGAGGAGAACGGGAAATTACTTGGTCATCAAAACCTAAACCAGAAGATTCAGTATCTTGTGAAACTGAAGAAAGATAACGCGAAACTTACTGAGGTAAGTTCCAGAGTAGAATACAGATGAAGTAATGGCTTGACGTAGAAGAGAGCTAAGCTTTGAGAATGAAAACTAAAATTCTTGCTCTTCTGTTGGAGAGCAATAGATTTTATGCAGTTCAGTAAGTCATGGCTGGTCCGTTTCCCCAGACGAGGATCACCCTGTTTTATTTCCCCAAGTATATAGTGTATAAAACACTTGAGCAAATATAGATACCACTTATTTAGAAATATAAAAGACGTGAGGATAATTTCCTTAATATACCCATGCTTATTTTTCTGTTTTACAGGAGACTGAAAAACTACGAATTGAAAATGCTTTTTTGAAAGAATCAAAAAAATGTGACATTTGTAGACATTATGATCAGCTGTAATGACACAAATAAAACTGCAGAGCCGTATTTTTAAAGTGTACAGAAAAAGCAAAAGCCATTTGTCAAACTTGACTTTTGCTGTGGTCCTGGAATAATCAAGTATTTTAGTTCATAGATTTTTTTTTGTTTTGCTGGTAATAACTCTTAGTGAAGAATTTATACCAGCTATGTGGGCAGCTTCCAATGACATAGTAACACCTTTCTGTAATTTTTAATTTCCAAAACTGATGTTGTATAGGTGCTGGAAGATACTTCCTTGGAACTTTTGTACCTTGCCAAGGAAAAGCTTTCTCACTGGGAACACACCTGGATCTTTGTTTCCTTTTGTGCTTTTATTCAGGTTCCTACCTCTTCTGAAATGCTACATTTTCCACCAGAGCCAAAATTTTAAAAGCACTATTTCTTTGTGACTATTTCTTTAGCTAAACATAGGGTGATTTTATTGGATTGCTTAAAAATAATTTTTATACTGAACTTTGCTCAATAAAGCATAAATGTGAATTTAGTAACAGACTTGTAAATAGCATATAAATATATTTTGCCTTTCTGTTCTTTCTCTATATGAAATTAAAATGCTTTTCAACCCTTTTTTCCCCTATTATAGACTTATAGTAGACTTCTATATGAGAATTGTAGGAAATTCTAAGTATTTTGCAACCATTTTCTTATCAAACAAGTTAATGTTATCAAAGAAGCTGTGAAAATACGCAGAACATTTTAGGAGTACAGCAGAAGTTCACTTAATTGCACTTAAGATTTATTGCAGATACATGAAATGTTTATTAGTGGATCACAAAATGTTGATTTATATAGGAATATCCAACAGGCTTTTTTTTACTGCCAGTAAGCCTATCATTCTGGTTTTTGGCTACTTCATACAGTATTTCTTTTGCCCACAAGTGCTAGGGCAAAACGAAACAAAGCAGATGTGTGTCTGATAAAGGGCAGGATAGACCTAGTGAGTTTCTACATGATTTGGCTGAGGGGAAGAAGAATTTCTACCAGCTTATCTGCGCATTTTAAAGTTGCCTAAGTTCAAGCTCCCACTTGAGCTCTGATGTGATGTATAGAAGTAAAAAGCTGACCCTAAATGGGGTAGGTGTTTGTTTTTTTCCCCGTAGACAATCTAGATCGGATCAGACCTAGAGGGATACATCAAGGACAACACACCTATTGTCCCCTGTGTGCTTTATTTGTTACTGCCGTGTTCTAGGTTTACAAATGACCCCTTCCTGCCTGTTTCTGGACTATTTCCATGTAGGCGGTTTCTGCCGTTTTTCTGTGTTGTATGTGGCTACGGTAGGACCTCTGTTGTTCTCCTACTCCCTCCTTTTCTGTCTGTTCAAATAAAGCCTTTGTATATA